AAATTCCCAGCTCTAACTTGCCAGCTAGCTTGCATACAAACCGAATTAACCTGTCTAACAGTATGCGTTAAAAACAGGGGTTTAGTTAGCACACATTTGCAAACACATAAGTAAGCTACAGAGCCTCGTCACGGCACCCCAATATTCTGTAGTTCCTAACTCTCCAATTTTAAGAGCCCCCATAGTAGAGGCACATGCATTTAATGGATAGACCAAGGGCACGTGGACCTGAGGGAGCCCACACCTCCCTAAAGGTACAGGAGCGCACTGGACACCCAGCTCCTTGCTGTGAAGGCCAGTTATAGACTGGGGCAGTGGTCATTTTTTGAACTTTCCACTGTAAAAAGCATGAGCTACACTGCACTTTGTGAATGGTCTCGCAGCCTTCTGGTACCTGTGATGTGTCCCAGAAGGCTACGGGCAAAGAGAGAGAGGGCTGAACTTCAGAAGTGGGAGCAGGTACCTATCAAAATTAGATACCCCCCCCAAAGGAAATGTCAAAGAGTGGGAGAGGATGGGGGGAGCCAGAAAAGGGAAACTTCCCTTTATGTGTGAAGTTCAGCTTTAAACAAATGTAACTGCACTGCAGAGGCCCATTGTTAACATCATCAACATGTCCTTGCAGTGCATCTTTATGACCCTTTCTAAAAAAGCAAGAGTTGCTCATCTGTGTGCGTAAGTATAAGAGAATGTTGTTCCTTATATACCAGTCCTTCCTGTGCCAAAATTCACAGAAGCCACAACCATATGTGAACTATTCAGATGGGCGATTAAGCCCGTCCTCCATGCAGAACTGCTGGCAGATACCTGTGCATCAACCTCAAAGCTACGTGCAGGCAGCCCATAAGGGGGCTGCACACACAGCACCGGTATGGACACAATCTCATGTCAAAGTTTGACATGTGGGCAGTAGATTTGTAATCCTTTTGCTACTAGCATTAGTAAATAGATAGGAACGTATATCACATTTACTCATTTTAAACAATTTTTTTACATTTCTTCAGTTACTGCCAGGTTTCTTGCCTATGCAAATGATGTCATACATCCCAGGAGTCTTCTGAAGGGGAAAAGGGTTTTTCTAAGCAAAGCATACCCTTAACTTGTATGCCTGAACTAAGGGCAGATGGATTCAAGGAAGTAAATGCTTCATGAGCCCTTACTCGAGATGGCCACAGTCAGAAATGCTAGCAGTGTTTTTCAAAGTGATTTCTCTGCAAAACAAAGCAACGAGACTTGGATGGAAATTAATTAAAGTGAAACTTAACTGCATCTGAGCACCACAAACCAAAATGCTATTTAATTAATTGCTAATATTCAAAGAAAACTCACCCATTCATCCATGTCTTCATGCTTTATTTTGCTGAGAATTAATATTAATTAATATTTCTGGCAGTGGCCATCTTGAGTAAGGGCAGATGATTAATTAGCATTTACTTCCTGGAACCCATATGTCTTTAGCTCAGGCATTGGCTGAGCTGAGAACACTCCCTCCACTTCTGAAGGCTCCTGGGATGTGTGACATCCTTTGCCTAGGCATAGAAATGAGGAAGTAACTAAAGAAATGTAAAGCTAGCAGCATAAGTATTAAAAATAGTCAATGTTGATTGAGAGAGTGAAGTTCCACTTTAAATAGCATTTTTGCTTTGTGGTGCTCAGATTCAGTGTTGTTCCACTTTAACTGGCAATTGTACGGTCATGCAACACTGTACACAAATAAAAATGTATATAATTATTTTTACACAAATAGATCTTTCTTTTGGAGATGTTTGATCACCACTGGGTTTTTTCATTTTTATTATATAAATGAAAAAAGACCTAAAATGCTGAATAAAAAACAATATTTTTTACTTTTTGCTATTAAACATATCCAATAAAAAAAATAACAAAAATCAAATTTCTTCCTAAATTTAGGCCAAAATGTATTCTCCAACATGTCTTTGGTAAAAAAAAAATACCAATAAGTGTATATTGATTGTTTTGTGTGAAAATATTAGTGTCAAACAATTGTACATATACTGGCATTTTTATTTATTTTTTTTATATTACTAATAGCAGTGATCAGAGGCCTATAGTGGGACTGTGATAGTGTGGCAGTCAATCTGACACTAACACTGGGTGTGAACTGACCAAGTGACACTGACATCTCCAGTGACACTAATACAGTGATCAGTAATAGTACTATACTCTGTCGCTTTACTAATGACACTTGCTGAGAAGGGGTTAACATCTATGAAGAGGGAGAGAGAGAGAGCAGTGATGCTGCACTTGGGCAAAGCAGTGGATCGAGATTGGTATCAGGTAAGTAAGTATATGGGGGGGGGCTGGTCACAGAAAGTTTTTCACCTTAAAACAGAGCTCCACCCAAAAAGGGATGTTCCATTTTAATTCTTTGTCCCCCACTCCCCATTAAGGATTGGCACTTTTGGGGAGCGGGTACCCAAAATTTGACAGGTACCTGCTCCCACTTCTACTGCGATCACCTAAAGGCGATCAGAAGCAGAAGTTGTCCTCCCTCCCTGTAGTCTTCTGGGACATGTGACAGGTCCCAGAAGACTGCAGGACCATTCACAAAGTGCAGCACTTCTCACGCATGCAAAGTGGGCACCCAGCTGTGAAGCCGCAAGCTGTCACAGCCAGGTGCCCACACTGAAGATGCCGGCGCCAGGGAGAGAAGACGGCCGGTGAAACCAGCCGTGGTGAGGACACCGTTGAACTGAGGGACAGGTAAGTGACTGTATTTTAAAAGTCAGCAGCTTCAGTTTTTGGAGCTGCTGACTTTTATTTTTTTTTTCAGCTGGAACTGCGCTTTAATGCATTGTAGGCATTAGGGTAAAAAAAACTTTCTGGTTTTAGAATATTTTAAATCACTTCTTACTGTTGCCCAGGATTACATGTCCCATGAAGAATTGCTTCTCACACAATCATGCACTAAGGCCTCATGCACAGTGGAACATTTTTCTGCTGGCAGAACGCGCGTGAATGCAAAAACGTGTGTAAATACAGTACTGTGTTTAGCGCTAAGATGTTTATTCATTTCATTGGCCAAAGTATTTGCCATTGAAGTGAATAAGCACCCAAGCGCTAAACGCAGTTACCGCGTATGTGCGTTTTGACGCATTTAGGTGCATTTACACGGGTTTTTGCCATGTTTAGTGTTTCTTGCCAAAACGTTCCTCTCCTGAACACGATTCAGGAGAGGAACTTCGTTCAGAAGAGGGGTAGAAAGGAGGGAGATGGAGGGGGAGAGAGGAAGGAGGGAGTTGGAGGAGGAGAGAAGAAGGAGTGAGATGGAGGGGGAGAGAGGAAGGAGGGAGATGGAGGAGGAAGAGAAGGTAGGGAGATGGAGGAGGAGAGAAGGAGGGAGATGGAGGAGGAAGAGAAGGTAGTGAGATGGGGAGAGTTCAGCTGTAGTGCACAGCTTAGCTCACTCACCCAGGTTGGTCTCCGCAGGCTCAGGCAGAGGAATCTATCTTGCAGCCATTATGTAGTTGTCGGCTGCAGTGCTTGAAATTTCCCACCCACACATCTTCTCAGGCTAAGCACTGGTTAGGAGTTGGAGTGTGGTTGGGGCAGACAGGAGGAGAGGGGCGGGAGGAGGCAGTGTACATCGATCTCCTCTCTCCTCTCCTGTCCATGCAGGGAAGGGGAGCTGGAAGTGTGCTGTCTGGGCTATGTGAGCCGCTGCAGACAGCTTATCTTGGATAAAGTTTGCCTAGGGGGGCGCAGCTGAAATTTGGGGGAGGATAGCCCACCCCAGCACCCCCCTAGATCCGGCCATGTCTTTGACGCATTTAGCGCTCTTGGCCAAAACGTTCCTCTCCTGAACGTGATTATTCTGCGTTCAGAAGAGGAACATTTAACTGCCCCTAAACTCTGCCGCTCCTAAACTCTGGTAAAAGCCTATGTGTACATGGAAATATAGGCTTTTTTTGAGTTGAGTTCAGGGGCTTTGGCAAAAAAACTCCAAAAGCTCCTAAACTTACGTTTAGGAGTAGCAGAGTACTAAAGGCTCTAAAGTGTGTTTGATAAATCTACAGGTAAAAAAGAAAAAAAATGCTATAATGGTATGCTATATTACATTGTGAAAGTACAATTTGGCACATACCACTGATATCCCATTTTAGGTAAGTCCAATGTTAGTAGTTATGTGACAAGAGCAAAAACTAGCTTTCCCTAAGGACAACTTGTTCTTTACAGCTTTCCTCCTCAGTGTAACGCATATAGTAAAATACTTATTGTCAGACCTAGTCTGAAGAGCTTCACTGTATGGCCTTGCCCGGCACTGCACAGCCTTTCATTAAGTAGGTTTGGATGGAGTATAAAAAGATTTATTGTTCGCAGTCTGTGTCCCAATGCAGAAATTTCCCTTTACTTTCTGCCCTGGAGCTGCAACAGGAAGTAAATGGAGATCTCCTGAAAGTCTGGGGAATTCCCATCTCAGATCATTGTCACTGAAACATTTGTTCCCATTAAATGATTTCCTCTCACCTCTTGTTCTGCTGACAAAATTTTGGTTTTCCCCTCACTTTTTATCTCAGTGACAATAGTTATTAAAACATAGAGAACGGGTGGATTTCCCCAGCAAGAACACAGCAATAAACATTTTACAGAGATTTTTATAATTGCATAATCTATCACAAATGAAAAAAGTTGGAGGTAAAATGTATACATCTGTTTGATTTATGGAGAACCATGCAGCCCTAACACATGAATTTTCTAATCTTCTACATATTGGACATATCTTTATGCATGCGTTCATTAGAATGTACAACAATGCTGTTTGCAAATGCATTTGATTTGAAAATCAGTTCACTTAGTATTGGGAAACACTGGCAAATGTGTCTTAAGTTTTCCAAGTAAAAGTAAGGCCCAGTATCATTTTTGTGCACCATTTAATCAGTTATCTCTTGATTTTTTTTTTTCAGCTTGTCCACCTCTTTCTGCAATGTACATGTCGATGTCACTGAATGGTTCTTGGATGTTAGAGTTTTGCATAGACAATGGTTGGAAAACAGACACAGAGACATCATCCTCAAACGTTCACAAATGTTTTAACACCAGAACGAATACCTGAATTTTGTATACCTCCCAGGCATCAAAGCCAGAAAGACCTGAAAGTCAAACCTCATTATTTGTCCATCCCTGACCTCAGTAGCTCAGTATTTGAAGCAATAAAGCCTTGCTCCTTTGATACACATATTATCCAAGTGGATAGTGTTGAAGAATCTCTCGAAGAAGATAATACTAATGCTGATCCTCAATCACAGGCTGCTCTGTCATTACCCCATCTACTAAAAGCACCTACCTGCTATGGGTTTTGTACCTTGTTGGAAAGCCCAAACACAAGAAGAAAAGAGTCACTTTTTCACAACGATCCTGCTAATCCACCCATTTTGCTACCTCGATCTCGATCTAATACCGTCTCATGCAAAGAAATAACTTCACAGAATAAGTTCACTACAAAATCAAGGCCTCTGAGACGTTCTGGTACTTTAGATAGTGATACAACTTCATCTACTGAGTCATCACCATTAAGCTCTCCTCTTCTTTACAGATCCCTTCCTATGTCCCTGTTAAAAGCTTTTAACCAAGAAAAAATCTTCTCCAGAGCTTTGAAAGTTGGGTGCAAGTCTTCTTTCAGGAATAACTCAGTGTCTAGTGATGAAGACAGTTCAACAGATAGCAGCCCATGTGTCACCAGAAGACCTTCCCAAGAGTGGACACTGCATCCTCCTGCACATTCTCACACAGGTCTGTTGTTAACTCTGAATCAGTTCCCTATGGATAACACTTTAACTTTGGACACCGGAGGAATATTGCGTTTGTCCACTGAATACAGAGCTGAAAGCCTAAGGCTCCGTATCCGACTTGTTAGTGCTGAGGGACTTTACAGAGAGTCTGTAGATTCGAAACATATCAATTGCAGTATTTCCTTATCAGTCGTACCTGGGAAAAACCAAAAGCAAAGAAGCACCTTGATCAGAGGAAGCCGAAACCCAATCTTCAATGAAGATTTCTATTTCGAGGGCCTTGAAGCTCATGATCTTCTCCAGAAAACATTGAAAATTAAAGCCCTAAATAAGGGATCTGGTGTACGAAGAGAAACTATCCTAGGGAGAAGCAAACTCCATCTTCTCAGTGTTCTAGTGCTCTAAGACATGTACATTATCTGCTTGGTTGGTACTGAATCATTTTGAATTAAAAGCAAATAAAACAATATATTTCATACACTGATAGTGTGTATATTTGTGTTCTGTCCGCACACCTTCATATAAACAGTCATTTAGAGTCTTTTTTTCTTGCTTCTGAGTGCAGCTGTGTCTTAGCCAATGTGTCTAGGCACATTGTGGCATTTAGATTTGTAGTCTGGTGCAGAATTTGGGGGTATACAAAAATCTGCATTTGGAGAGGAGAGCACTGGCATAAATTACGCACAAATGCACGTATATGCATATAAATGTAAATAAGTGTAACTAATTCCAGTGGCTAGAAACAAATTAATATTATAGCTAATAGAATGATTTGACTGGCACACGCAACTAAATGCCACACATAAACAAGTATTTTTTTTTACTCTGGATTTTTCTGCCAGCACCTGGTAGAAAGATGCAGAGTGAATGGGAGTATATTAATACACAGGAAGACTAAACCAGGCATATCAAACTCAACAGTGAGCCAAACTGAAGAGAATTTTCAAGGGGCCACATTTTTTCTACTAAGGGCCACACCTAGTTATTTCTACAATAAAATTACATTACTTTCATAATTAGAATTGTAGTAATAATTGCAATATTTATTCTTGAAAAAGTGTTAATGAGACACATTATGAAGTATTCAGCTCAAATACATTATGCAAGGAATTGTAGCTTCTATTAGTGTGGTGAAGCTAAGTGAGTTGAGGAATGCAGTCATCACAAAACCAATTCTTGCCTAAATCTGCCACCCATGGGCACAAGGATCATTATATGAAACATGAGCAAGATTGTATGGCTCTAATTATTCTAATACAGTTATATACACAAGAATGATACCCAATATGGGACTTTGAAGGCAATTGGCTACAATTGTGTTATAAAACATATAAATCCATCTTTATTTACACAAAGTAATAAAAACTCAATAATAACTGTTTTTTTACGTACTTGCATCACATATAAGCACATAGAGTAAGTATACAAATATCCTACCCAACACATTTCCAAAAATAATTTCCTTCTTTGTGGGTGTATGTAGGGAATATCAAAACTATAATATCAATATCAAAATGTAGGGAATATCAAATCTACAATGACATATATATAGATGCATATAAGTAAATTACAGCAAGTTAAGACCATTTGAAAATATATCAAGTCACGCTACAAGTGAAGCCAGCGTCATCTATAGCTGTATATGTTAAAAAACCAAATGGGAGTTGCTGTCGTTCACTCGACCGGTATAGGGTCTCATCATTGGCCCAAAGGAAGCCCAAGTGGAACACACTGGGGCCATCTATACACACAATAAAATACATGCCATTATGATCATTTGGAAAGGTAACCTCTACTAACGCCCAAGGGGGGAAGGAGCAACATATTTATTACCATATGGTGAAAGATCATGCTTGATTATACCACCAATGTTGTAATGACAGATGGACCATGAGCAATCTCTACCAAAAAGGATCTCATAGGGAGGAAATTACAACCCAAATAATAGATGGCACCTAATACAGGGACCACGAAAAAAAAATCCCACAAGGGACCACCCCTTCAGGGATCAATAGACTCTCTCTTTTAGCACCCCCCTTGTGAAAAATGTGCTCATACCCCATTGCCAAACTATAAGTCTCAACTTATACATTCCCATATGTACCTTTTCCCTCAGTATGGCCACCCAGAGACATTCCTAAATATCCCCGCATATAGGTCCATAAAACTCCTCACTAAAGATATGGCCATAGGAAAAAAACCTCTGGTGTCAAGAGGGAATGATTTGCAATCCCATGCCAAGAACGACAACATGGTCAGCTGGAAGGAAGTCTTATATAAGTCAGCGCTGCCCCACCCAATTTCAGGAAGATGCCACAACTGAAAGTGGGTGGCAGTCCAAACATCCCACCACCTGTTGTATGTGATCGGCACCCTGGTCTTCTGACACATGGCACAACAATGCCCACTTCCTGTAGCAAGAGCCCCCTACTGCTCAGGAACACATATGAAAACAAGGAGCTAAGACTCTCTGCAGCTAGAACACACCCCTATCACTCTGAGACCCAATCAGTGGGCACCAAAACCCACCATTGTGGCCTTGGTGCACTGGGTGCAGTCCAATGGTGCTGTGCCCCAACAAAATTCTAAAGGGTGTCTATGACATACATAACATATCTTGCCCCCTGCACTTCATCTGTCATACACTCTTGACCTCTGCACTCATCACCCCTGTTTTCTGGATCTTAAGCACCTCTTGACCCTTCACTCAATTAAAGCATGTGACCCCTGTGCTTTGTGCATTACACTCTGTTGATGCCTGTGCTCTCTGGGTTACTCACTCCTGACACCTAGGCAGTGTGTCTTATGTACTTCTGACCTCTGTACTGTATACACTATACTGTGAATTTCATACTCCTGACCACTGCACGCCTTATATTGTACTGGATATTGTAAACTGGAGAGTGCAAAACTGGAGCAGCTCTGCATAGAAATTATTAAATGCCTACACCAATTACCTTCCGAGTTTTTTTGCCAAAGCTTGATTGAACAAGCTGAAGTTAGAAGCTGATTGGCTACCATGCAGAGCTGCACCAGATTTTGCACTCTCCAGTTTTAGTAAATCAACCCAAATGACTATGCTAATAAATTTCTTCTGCAAGGTAGGGTGTGTGCAGAAAACAGAGGTAATAGAATAGTTGCATTTTTAAAAATGTTTCTCTGAGGTTTGTACGTGTCTTTTAGACTGTCACTTGTGGCACAGTAGTTGAAGAATATTATTTGGGGGACATGGACTGAGGCATGTGCTACCCTGTACAGTGTGGGGTTTATTTACTAAAGCTGGTTTACTCAGAATCTGATGCAGCTGTGCATGGTAGCCAATAAGCTTCTAACCTCAGCTTGTTCAGTTAACTGCTTCCCGACTGCCCTATAGCAGATATACTGCTACAGTGCGGCAGGGGTGCATAAAATCAGGTATATATACGTGATTTTGTGTTTCTGGGTAGGGAACACACGCCGCCATTCGCAGCTGCGGCTGTCAATCCCGGGTCCCGGCCAGTGTTTCCCCCCGGCGCCCGGTGATCACCGAGCATCTCCGACGGGGAGGAGGACTGCTTTATTTACTAACAATCCTCCTCCCTGTCAGCTCGGGCACACTGCTCTGGATGGCTGTGCACAGCACAGCCATCCAGAGCAGTGTGCTTACAGTGAAGCACACACACACACCGCCCCCTATATCAAACACTCCCTGCACACAATTAACTCTTTGATTGCCCCTTATGTTAACCCTTCCTGCCCAGTGCCATTAGTACAGTGTCAGTGCTTTTTCTTAGCACTGATCACTGTGTTGGTGTCACTGGGGATGTCAGTAACACCAAGTCAGTTCCCCCCCAGTGTCAGAATGTCCGCCGCAGTCCCGCAGTCCCACTATAAGTCGCTGATTGCCGCCATTACTAGTAAAAAAATCACAGTATCTATACCGCCATTTGTAAATGCAATAACTTTCATGTAAACCACTTAATTTACACATATTTACACATATTGTGATTTCTTTTAGTAAAGGCATGTAGCAGAATACATTTTGGTGTAAATTTATGACGAAATTTGATTTTTTTAAAATTTTTTTACTGGACATGTTTAATAGCAAAAAGTCAAAAATATTGTTTTTTTATCAAAATTGTCAGGCTTTTTTTTTGATAGCGCAAAAAATTAAAAACCGCATTAAAAAAGGCGATCAAATACCACCAAAAGAAAGCTCAATTTGTGGGAAAAAAATAACACAAATTTCATTTGGGTGCAGCATTGCATGACTGCACAATTGTCAGTTAAAATAACGCAGCGCCATTACGCAAAAAATGGCCTGATCAGGAAGGGGGGAAGATCCTCAGGAGGGCAAGTGGTTAAGCTTTAGCAATAAAACCTGTAAGCTGATTGGTTTCTATACATAAGTGCATGAGATTGCATGAGATTCTCAGTGAACCAGCTTTAGTAAATAAACCCCAGTGAGTAGACTCAAGTTTTAACCGCTTCCGCGCGCACCCTATAGCAGAAATGCTGCTACAGGGTGGCAAGGGTGTGCAAAATCACGTATATATACGTGATTTGCACTCCCGCAGCTCTCGCGGGCTGGTGGGCGCATGTGCGCCCCTGCCGACCCACAGGTGCCGTGATTTGATCCCCAAGGCATCAATCATCCGATTTAGGCCTGTCCTATCAGGGAACTTCCTTTACCTGTGTTTACAATTACACAGCTACAGGAAGTGATAATAATAAACCTCCATTGCTAGTAAAGTGTCTGAACGGATCACTATCTTTGATTAGATCAGCACTATACCAGCATTCACATTGGTATGGTGTCCCCAAAAACACAGCATTAGCATGGTCAGCTGCAGCACCTGCCAGCACCTGCATTTAGCCCCTACGCTTACCCCCCCCTTCTCCCCCAGCAAGTGCAGTGTCAGTAGGTCCCTGTCACTTGATACTTTGCACAGAAAACTGTAGTTTTTGCAGAATCATACCTGATCTGTGTTAGCACTTGCTGATAAATTTTTTTGTAGCAGTTCAAGCAGTCCCTGACAGCCAGGTACTCTTTTTCCCGTGAGTTGCGCTAGGTACCTATAAATTTAGTGGCCAAAATGTCAATGGAAAGGTACTCTAGTGAAGAGGCCTACAGGATTCTGAGCACGTCAGGCGAGACCGAAGAGGGAGACTCCCTGACAAAATCAGCCTCAGAATACGATCCTGTAGACAGCAACGGCACTCTGACAGATAGCTCAGATGATGGAAAAGAGGTCCCTGCTAAGATCAGGCCTACCCGACCCTATTCCCAGGCTGCTGAGATGTTACAAATGAATGATGACTTTCATATGCCGCAGAGTGCCAGTACTAGTGCCGCTCTACCTTTTGGTGCAGCCCACAAATTCTGCAGCAGCCGTACTTCCCCCATTCACTGCCCAACCCAAAAT